ATAATATATTATTTATTATTTATAATAATAATATTTAATAATATATATAATATTATAATATATTTATAATAATATTATTTAACATAATTTACTATAATAATCAATATTTTCAATAACCATTTCGGTCATCCTCTAGTAAATCAGTCCCTCAATCACCTAAAAACCAAGATTCGCCAAATTTAGTCCACTTTGAAAATACTTCTCGCGTTTCAAAAGCAGCACGAACCCTTTCACAGGCCACCGTACGAAATTCAGTGATAAAAACCAAAGAATAAGGCGTCGCCGGTCGGATGAACATCGACGTCTCGCGAGAAAGGCGCGAATTGGTCGCCGAGAAAGGAATGTGCTTCAGCGGAGCCGTGCTGATCGCGAGATTCCTCAAGTCGCTCTCGGAATCGAGTCGGGGCTCGGCCGTACAATTAATGAAAACGCGCGAAAGCGGTTGAATTAGTGGAACTGGGTCGAAGAGAGGAGACGCGGAAACACCGAGCGGATCCCGTTCACGGGGACCCTTTTACGGTGTTTGTGACCTGGATCCCGATGCTCTGCGGCACCCCGTGCGTACACGGAACGCGCCTTTACCCGAAGTTTCCGGTCTGCCGCGACACATAGGGACTCGTTCGCTTTTATCGGCCGCGCCGCACCGCACCGCATCGCGCAATCTCGGCAAGCCTTTTACCCATTTTCCGAGTACACGGTCATCTACTACTTTTGATTCTATCCGAGCGCGAAAAGCCACGGCGATCCGATGCGACTCCTTTCACCCTCGAAAAACACTTTCTTGCCTCCGACAACCACTCGCCGCTTCCTCTACGGCGAGGTCATCGAGCGCGCGCGCGTCGGGAAACGACTGGCAACGTCGCCGATCTGGCAACGGCGGCGGGATTAATTGAGCCGATTTTTTGCTTTTTTTGTTCTTGGAACGTCCCGGCAGTGGGATCTTCGATTTGTCGACGGATTTTTGTTACGGTTACGTTACGTTGTTCTTGGTTTTTGGGACGTATAGTCCCTTACTGACGCATCGGATTGTGCGGTAGAGTGGAGAATTTAGGAAGAGTAGAAACGATTTATTCGAGCATTGTAGCTTGTTTTCTTTATGGTTGTTGATAATTTGTAATTATAAAAATTGAACTACGAGGATTGGATAAATCGTATCTGGTTCCTCCCGAATTGTCCATTTCTGTGGGCGATTTGAGCGTCAATTAGGGAGACATATGAGCCGTTTCTATTAAAAATGGCCTAAGTCCATTTATTCGAGCCTTGTAGATTGTTTTTTATAGTTGTTGACAATCGGTAACTATAAAAATTGAACCGCAAGGCTCGAATAATCGTATCTCGTTCTTCCCGAATTGTTCATTTTTGGTGGACAATCTAAACGTCAATTAGAGAGACATTACTGTAATCTGTTTTACAGTGTTCTCCTGTATCGCTCAAGTGACATATTTCGACGAAAGAATTTTTTCAAGATTGTGTTGTACTTTTGCCGTTGATTCGGAGTTTTGTATGAATTCGAATTCGGCGGACCTTTGATCAAAATTCTCAATGCATCGTCGTTCGCGAGCAAGAAAATTTCAGCGAAACTGTTACCTCTTCCCATAACAATTCGTTCGAATACTTCCGTTAGCCACAGTAGAGTAATGTCACTCTAATTGACGCTCAGACTGTCCACAAAAAATGGACAATTCGGGGAGAGGAGATACTATTATTCCAGCCTTGCCCGCCCATCCCCCTCTTCGGTGGCATCTAAAATTTCGAAAAAAATGTGGCTTATTTTGGACATCGAGCCGCGTATTACAGAATTTTTTCAGATTTTTCAGGTGCAAGTTGTAGTTACAAAAAATGGAAAACCAAAAAAAAAAATCGGAAATTGAAGATTTCTCGAAAACAAAAATATAGGTTCTTTTTATACTAATTCCTCGATAAGATGCCGTCGCAAGCAGTGCGCTGAATTTTTCTCCGAGCGTCAATTAGAGAGACATTACTGTATTCGCATCGCGAATTGGCTCGCAGAAATGTTAGTCCGTTCCTAAAACCGATATTCTGAATGAGAAATATTCTAAAGTGCTCGAGACATTGCAGCAATGTTACGCTACGTATCTAGAGCGAAGGGACATCTACATTGAACCCTAAATAATAAGATCCGCAGGCACTCTGCTAGCAGGCCACCGTTTCCGAGAGACCGAAACGACGTACGGCAACTTCTTCACGGAGGGTCGTTCGCAGAGGCGTAATTGCCGATAATGTCGGGCTACGGTGCACGACGATATCAGCAAGATTGAACAATTATCGGTGTTTCAACACGAATAAATTTCGCGCCGCCCGGCTCTGTCTGTTGAACACTACCGTTTTCTGTGTCGATGCCTCGAGGACGGTTCGACGAACGGAATCTTCCTTCGCCGGCTATTCTCAGTACGATCGAAGATTTTCAGTCGAAGTTCAGCGTGCCAACAAAAACAATACTGAATTTATTTTATACAGGATGTCCCAAAATTATGATATTTCCGGGAAACGGGGGGTTCCCAAGGTCATTTGAAGCAACTTTTTCCTTAGCGAAAATGTTCCACGAGGCTTCGTTTACGGGTTATTAACGAAAAACGCTGACCAATGACCGCGCTCGCTCAGCGCTAGGCGACCGAGCCAATCAGCGGAAATGGGCTTCCGCCGCACGTTAGCTCGGCCGTCTCGCGCCAGCCGAGCTCGCCTCTCATTGGTCACTGTTTTTCGTTAATAACTCGTAAACGAAGCGTCGCAGAACATTTTCTCTAAGGAAAAAGTTACTTCAAATGATCTCAGAGGAACCCCCCATTTCCTGGAAATACCATAATTTTGGGACACCCTGTATAAAATAAATTGAGTATTGTTTCTTTTCAATTTGAAGCATCTTAAATTATGTTGAACGGATTTGGGCTCCTTCAAATTTGATAACGAATCTGGTTGCCATTATTTTAATAGGAACTATAAATTCAACTCCTTTAGATACATTTAAATAAACGGCTCATATGTCTCTCTAATTGACGCTCAGATTGTCCACAAAAATGGACAATTTAGGAAGTGAAAGATTCATTTTTATAGTTACGAATTTATAGTCAACGACTATAAAAACGAGCTCCTACAAGACTCGTTAAACAATAATCGTATCTCCTCTTCCCAAATTGTCCATTTTCAAAATATCCGGCTCATATGTCTCTCTAATTGACGCTCAGATTGTCCACAAAAGTGGGCAATTTAGGAAGTGAAAGATTCATTTTTATAGTTACGAATTTATAGCCAACAACTATAAAAACGAGCACCTACAAGACTCGATAAATAAAAATCGTATCTCCTCTTCCCATATTGTCCATTTTTGGTGGACAATCCGAACGTCAGTTAGGGAGACATTACTGTAATAATCACTAGCGACGAGAAGACAGCTTCAACCCTCCCGTTTCATTCCGCCGTCCGATTTCCGACGACAAAGATGACCTCGCGCTGATCCTCTCTGGATTTGCTTGGAATTCCGAGGGATTCTACTCGTCGTCCGTGCAAAGTGGAACGATACGCCGCTGAAATCTCCCAAATTTCATTCGAAATTACATTCGAAATCTAGAGACGGTCAGCCGCCCAGGTCTGTTTTTTAAATCTACTGTCTCCCGCGTTTAAATGTTTACGGCCCTGTGCTGACGCAAACTGCGGCAACAATAACCGATTCGAACGAGCCTGGATAATCAGCCGAGCTATAGAAGAACCCGCTAATTGGTGGTGGGTTTGTGCGGCAAGCCTCCACCGGAGAATGTCACACCCCTGCGTACACTGTTTCAGAGAAGTTTCACGTGGGAAGCAACTGCATTCCGATATTCTCTCCCCACCCCTTCCTCCCTTTTGTGATTAGTAGACTACGAATTTTATGGATTTATATTAGAGATAGCTAGTTCACGTGTAATTAATATATTCGTGACAGAATGTATGAAGAAGTCGTGTGTTTTCTCCATATAATTATAATATACAGGCTGTCACAAAAAGATCTCGCAATCCGAAAGTGGCGGGTTCCTCGGGTCATTCGAAACAACTTTTTCCTTTACAAAAATTTTCTCCGAGGTACCGTTAACGAGTTATTAACGAGAAACAGTGACCGATGAGAGGCGAGCTCGACTGGCGCGAGGCGACCGAGCCAATGAGCGGAACTGGGCTTCGTGCGCCGGTTGGCTGGACCGCCTCGCGTCAGCCGTACTCGATTCTTATTGGTCACTGTTTTTCGTTAATAACTCGTTAACGATGCCTCGGAGAACATTTTTGTAAAGGAAGAAGTTGCTTCAAATGATCCAAGGAAACCGCCATTTCTGGATTGCGAGACATTTTTGGGACACCCTGTAGATTGATCGATGAGAATACAGTGGTAACTTTATATTGCTTGAAATCGTATTTCCTGTTAAATTTGGAATTAAATCAAGATTTACGACCTACACATACAACGTGTGAAATTTAGGTTTCTTACCGTTTTCTTTCGCAGATAGCGCATTCTATTGGCGTAATTTCATTATTAATAGAGTAACTAAAAAATTTCTTGTGTACCAATAGCTCTAATGTTTAAAATTCCCAAAAATGTCTCGCAATCCGGAAATGGCGGGTTCCACGGATCATTCGAAGCAGCTTCTTTCTTTACAAAAATGTTCTCCGAGGCACCGTTAACGAGTTATTAACGAAAAATAGTGACCAATGAGAATCGAGTACGGCTGACGCGAGGCGGCCCAGCCAACCGGCGCACGAAGCCCAGTTCTGCTCATTGGCTCGGTCGCCTCGCGCCAGTCGAGCTCGCCTCTCATCGGTCACTGTTTCTCGTTAATAACTCGTTAACGGTGCCTCGGAGAAAATTTTTGTAAAGGAAAAAGTTGCTTCGAATGACCCGAGGATCCCGCCACTTTCGGATTGCGAGACATTTTTGGGACACCCTGTATATACAGTATCAGATCATTCAGCCGTACCTAAAAGGTTAAAATGACCAAAAGATTTGAGATTTAACTTACCAAATACTGGTTGGTCAGATTTGAATCGCCGAACGGGTACGGAGTGTAGACTGCCAGGGCGACGCAATTCGCGAATATCGTCATTAGAATAAGCCACTCGAAAGGTCTGAAAAGTCGCGCGAACGAGGAAAGCCTCTAGTTAAGGAAAATTCATAGAACGGCGGGCAAACTTCTACGAAACTTCTTCCACGATTTTCCCTGATTTTCACCGATTCGCCCAGGGAACCTTATTAACTCTTTGCAGCCAAATTACTGAAAAATTTTATACAGTTTTCCTGAGCCATTGCATTTCCATTTTATATAACCTAACGAATTTTATAAAAATGCGTTTATTATTAAAATCTCTTTGTATTAAAATTTTATTAAAAAAATAAGACGCATTATATAAATTGAATTTTGTGACATAAACCGGAAATAATAGTTAGGGGTCAAGTGTGACCCTCGTATATTTCAGTACGGCCTTAATGTTCTAATAATGTAACAGGTATCTTGTTTGCAATTTATAATTTAATAATAAACAGTAATTTAATTTAATTTATAATAATATTTATAATATATAATATAATATATTTTATAATATATTTATAATATATAATTAAATTATGATGATTAAATTTAGTTATAAATTAAATTATGATAATTAAATTTAGTTATAAATTAAATTATGATAATTAGATTTAATTATAAATTAAATTATAATTAAATTACTATTTATATATATTATATTAAATTATAAATTGCAAACAAGATGCTTGTTACATTATTAGAACATTAGGGCCGTACTCAAATATACGAGGGTCATACTAGACCCCTAACTACTATTGCCGGTTTGTAATTATAATTTAATTTATAATTAAATTTAATTATTAATTGATTTTATGGAAAGATTATAATAGAACCTAGACTCAAATAGAAGCAAGTATAATTAAGTTTGAGGCGGGGCCCGCTAGGCGGCCGCATCGGAGGGCCCCCTATCGGTCCCAGAACTTCTTGTGATACCTGTTTCAATCGCTATTGACAAGAGAACACATCCAAGTGTATCATGCTGACTTTTTTTTCATTAAAATTTAGTATGATAATAATTTTGATTCCGTTGTTTTGTTTACTTTTGAATTACTTTTAAAAATTGTATGCTGTATTTGATAAATATGAAGTTAATTATGTCCGACAGCCCACAGTAACCGGCTCCACTGTCGAATTCAAAAATACTTCTGCTTAGAAAATATTAAAGATCGGTGTACAGTGGCTCACAAAAGTGTTCGTACATCATTTAAAACGCAATAAATTTTTCAAAACTGTACCAAATGACGCAATTTCGTTTTTTAAACGATGCTAGGACTAATTCGCAATAGAGACAATACTGAGAGAGACAATAACTGAAATGCTTCTTCTTAATTTTGCTCTTATTTGAAATGACAAAAAAGGAAAAGAAAACTCTTGTTTCTTAACTTTTTTACCTGAGCCTGTAACAAAAATTTAAAAAATTGCCTTTCTTATATCTCGGTAACTTATATGCATGTTAAAAATTTTATCGAAATTTGTAGACCTTGTTACGAGTTGCAAATAATTAAAGATCGCTAAAACCGCATAATCCCGATTTTCCTCGCTTTTTACCAAAAGCTAGTACAAGAAATCTGCAGTTCTTGAAACCTTCCAACGCCAGTAGCTCGACACGAGTTACCGAGATCATGGAAAGGCATTTTTTTAAAAACGCCTATTTTATTAAAAGAGTTAAAAACCGCGAGATTTTGATTCCCCTGTCGTTCCAAGTAACAGCAAAATTAAAAAAGAAAAATCATTTCAGTCACTGTCTAGTATACCAGTCCCTCAATCACCTAAAAAAAAAAAATTAAAATCATTTAGTCCAGTTCGAAAAAAATTATAGCATCTTACAAGTTGTACGAACATTTTTGTGGGCCCAAATGTGTTACGTCACTCACCGGTGTCGCCGCGTAAATTGCAACAACAAAAAGAAAAAGGATACTTCCACTCGACGACGTCGATGCACATCTTGCGCACGGGATTCTTGAGGGGCAGACAGAAAAGGGCCCTGACGGGCCTGTCCGGCGGTGGTTTGCCGCCCCTCCTCGCCGGCCTCTTCGGAGCGGACTTGGCGGCAGCTTGGCTGGTCCCCTGGTTTTGGCCCGTCTGCGACTGCGCGTTGGCCAGCTGTCCGTCCTGGGCAGGTTGCGAGTTCCGGTGCTGCCCAAGAATGGGGGGGGTCACGGCGGTCGGCTGGGCCTCCGACAGCCCAGGGGGGCCCAACAATGAGCCCCCATCCCCCCCCGCGCTCATCGGTCGGTGCTCCTCGCCGCGATCGGTTCCGTGCTTACGCTTCGCGGCTCACCTCTTCTTCTTCTCCTCCCCCTTCTCCTCCGCTTTCGCTTGCCTACGCCGACGCCGCCTCCACCCCCGCCTCCTCCGCCGCCGGCAAAGCCTCCGCCTCCGCCTCCTCCTCCCCCTTCTCCGTCGACTCCTCTTTCACCGATCGCTGTCCCGCCCCCGCCGCCGACTCCTCTTCCGGTTCTGCACACGTAACCACGCTCCTCCAGACCCTGTCTGACTTGCACGCAGACGCCCGTGCAGACGCCCGACGACGACGACGACGCCGTTCGACGCGCTCTCTCAGAGACGCCCCACCACCCGCTGCAGCGCGCCGGCATGCTACGGCACTGGGCTCTTTCGAACCTCCCTCCGTGACCTAAACATTACACACGAAACATCGTTATTATCGTCATCCTTGTCGGCGAAACCCTCCGACCCGCACGCTTCTGTCTCGCGAACATTTACAGATATACGGTTTCAACCAATATGGAAACGCCGACGACGACGCGACGCGACGCCGGCCCTGGTCGATATCGGTCTTGTTATCCTCGCTACTCTGTTTTCCGGCAAGCGTCGAGAACTCGAAGCGCACTTCGCGACACCGAAGCCGCGGGAGCGAGTATTGTCGAAAGAGCAGGCTTAACCAGGAACGATATTTGAACCCCGGCGAAATGTTTTCCAGCGCTGTGAAACGCTGCGAGACCTTGGAAACAGCGGCGTATCGTCAAACTAAACTTTAACCCTTCACGCTCGAAGCTAAATTATCGCAACATATAAAATAACTCTTTGACCCACGCTATTTTCCAAAAATTTTTCGAAATCCGAAAGTAGCGGGTTCCTTAGGTCATTCGAAGCAACTTTTTCCTTTACAAAAATTTTCTGCGAGGCACCGTTCGTGAGTTATTCACGAAAAACGCTGACCAGTGAGAGATCGCTGATGCCCCGCCCTCGCGACCACTGCCGCTGCGTCAGCTGGCCGGCGCGACGCGGCATTGGCCGCAAGGCCGAGGCGCCGGCCGCAAGCGCTCTCCGATTGATCAGTGTTTTTCGTTAATAACTCGTAAACGGAGCGGCGGATTGCATTTTCGCTAAGGAGAAAGTTACTTGAAATTACCTCAGGAACCTCCCATTTTCGGATTGCGAGACATTTTTGGGACACCCTGTATATATATAAAACACAATATGATTCGTCTAAAATATATATATATATATATATATATACATATATACAACAGCCTTCCGCATAAATTGCAGGAACACGATTCAAGTAAAAGGTTACTTCTTCCTTTAATCAATATCTTAAATTACAGTTTGCTCAATTTAGTTGGAACAACGTTCTCAACGTTCGATTAATAAAATCATTTTGAAATGTGACATAACAATTTTTAATGGCGATCATCGCATCCTCTACATAACCCCGACCCTGCGCCAGTGGATTATCAATTACTTGGAAGTTTCGAGAACTTTTGACATTGTAAGAATTTCAATAATTACGATAACCTCGAATCGCACTTGATCGAGCTTTTCACTGACAAAGATGGCGGAAGATCGTCGAACAGAATGGAAAATATTCGACCGATTATAAAGTTCCATTTCTTCCATAGAAACAGTACAGTTTTATTTCCACACTGAAACACCGAAATTATTTTCCTGCCGATGCGATAATTCGCGATTGGGGCCTACGGTTTCGAGCTGTGGGCCAGTGCTAGCGAATCTAGCATTGGCCTGTCTCTTATACACATCTAGATGTGTATAAGAGACAGATACAGGGTGTCCCAAAAATGTCTCGCAATCCGAAAGAGATGTGTATAAGAGACAGATACAGGGTGTCCCAAAAATGTCTCGCAATCCGAAAGAGATGTGTATAAGAGACAGATACAGGGTGTCCCAAAAATGTCTCGCAATCCGAAAGAGATGTGTATAAGAGACAGATACAGGGTGTCCCAAAAATGTCTCGCAATCCGAAAGAGATGTGTATAAGAGACAGATACAGGGTGTCCCAAAAATGTCTCGCAATCCGAAAGAGATGTGTATAAGAGACAGATACAGGGTGTCCCAAAAATGTCTCGCAATCCGAAAGAGATGTGTATAAGAGACAGATACAGGGTGTCCCAAAAATGTCTCGCAATCCGAAAGAGATGTGTATAAGAGACAGATACAGGGTGTCCCAAAAATGTCTCGCAATCCGAAAGAGATGTGTATAAGAGACAGATACAGGGTGTCCCAAAAATGTCTCGCAATCCGAAAGAGATGTGTATAAGAGACAGATACAGGGTGTCCCAAAAATGTCTCGCAATCCGAAAGAGATGTGTATAAGAGACAGATACAGGGTGTCCCAAAAATGTCTCGCAATCCGAAAGAGATGTGTATAAGAGACAGATACAGGGTGTCCCAAAAATGTCTCGCAATCCGAAAGAGATGTGTATAAGAGACAGATACAGGGTGTCCCAAAAATGTCTCGCAATCCGAAAGAGATGTGTATAAGAGACAGATACAGGGTGTCCCAAAAATGTCTCGCAATCCGAAAGAGATGTGTATAAGAGACAGATACAGGGTGTCCCAAAAATGTCTCGCAATCCGAAAGAGATGTGTATAAGAGACAGATACAGGGTGTCCCAAAAATGTCTCGCAATCCGAAAGAGATGTGTATAAGAGACAGATACAGGGTGTCCCAAAAATGTCTCGCAATCCGAAAGAGATGTGTATAAGAGACAGATACAGGGTGTCCCAAAAATGTCTCGCAATCCGAAAGAGATGTGTATAAGAGACAGATACAGGGTGTCCCAAAAATGTCTCGCAATCCGAAAGAGATGTGTATAAGAGACAGATACAGGGTGTCCCAAAAATGTCTCGCAATCCGAAAGAGATGTGTATAAGAGACAGATACAGGGTGTCCCAAAAATGTCTCGCAATCCGAAAGAGATGTGTATAAGAGACAGATACAGGGTGTCCCAAAAATGTCTCGCAATCCGAAAGAGATGTGTATAAGAGACAGATACAGGGTGTCCCAAAAATGTCTCGCAATCCGAAAGAGATGTGTATAAGAGACAGATACAGGGTGTCCCAAAAATGTCTCGCAATCCGAAAGAGATGTGTATAAGAGACAGATACAGGGTGTCCCAAAAATGTCTCGCAATCCGAAAGAGATGTGTATAAGAGACAGATACAGGGTGTCCCAAAAATGTCTCGCAATCCGAAAGAGATGTGTATAAGAGACAGATACAGGGTGTCCCAAAAATGTCTCGCAATCCGAAAGAGATGTGTATAAGAGACAGATACAGGGTGTCCCAAAAATGTCTCGCAATCCGAAAGAGATGTGTATAAGAGACAGATACAGGGTGTCCCAAAAATGTCTCGCAATCCGAAAGAGATGTGTATAAGAGACAGATACAGGGTGTCCCAAAAATGTCTCGCAATCCGAAAGAGATGTGTATAAGAGACAGATACAGGGTGTCCCAAAAATGTCTCGCAATCCGAAAGAGATGTGTATAAGAGACAGATACAGGGTGTCCCAAAAATGTCTCGCAATCCGAAAGAGATGTGTATAAGAGACAGATACAGGGTGTCCCAAAAATGTCTCGCAATCCGAAAGAGATGTGTATAAGAGACAGATACAGGGTGTCCCAAAAATGTCTCGCAATCCGAAAGAGATGTGTATAAGAGACAGATACAGGGTGTCCCAAAAATGTCTCGCAATCCGAAAGAGATGTGTATAAGAGACAGATACAGGGTGTCCCAAAAATGTCTCGCAATCCGAAAGAGATGTGTATAAGAGACAGATACAGGGTGTCCCAAAAATGTCTCGCAATCCGAAAGAGATGTGTATAAGAGACAGATACAGGGTGTCCCAAAAATGTCTCGCAATCCGAAAGAGATGTGTATAAGAGACAGATACAGGGTGTCCCAAAAATGTCTCGCAATCCGAAAGAGATGTGTATAAGAGACAGATACAGGGTGTCCCAAAAATGTCTCGCAATCCGAAAGAGATGTGTATAAGAGACAGATACAGGGTGTCCCAAAAATGTCTCGCAATCCGAAAGAGATGTGTATAAGAGACAGATACAGGGTGTCCCAAAAATGTCTCGCAATCCGAAAGAGATGTGTATAAGAGACAGATACAGGGTGTCCCAAAAATGTCTCGCAATCCGAAAGAGATGTGTATAAGAGACAGATACAGGGTGTCCCAAAAATGTCTCGCAATCCGAAAGAGATGTGTATAAGAGACAGATACAGGGTGTCCCAAAAATGTCTCGCAATCCGAAAGAGATGTGTATAAGAGACAGATACAGGGTGTCCCAAAAATGTCTCGCAATCCGAAAGAGATGTGTATAAGAGACAGATACAGGGTGTCCCAAAAATGTCTCGCAATCCGAAAGAGATGTGTATAAGAGACAGATACAGGGTGTCCCAAAAATGTCTCGCAATCCGAAAGAGATGTGTATAAGAGACAGATACAGGGTGTCCCAAAAATGTCTCGCAATCCGAAAGAGATGTGTATAAGAGACAGGTATAATCGAGAATTGAAAATAACAATGTGAAAGCAAAGATAAAAAAATCATTTTACTGATATTTATCATTTACACGGGATTGTAAGCTATAACACTTATAGCCAAGACAATGTTCTAAATTTTGTTTCTTTACATAAAAAAAAATTGATTTTTTTAGCCGTTTAAAAAAAAAAAAACTGTGCGTTAAGGGGTTAATTCCTAGAAGAATCGAAATAACGACTGCGCTTCGTGTTCAAATTACGAAGCGATCGAAATGCGTGGAATTCAGGTACAGGTATTCGCAGAAGCAGAGATTTCGCGGCGGGAAATTTCGTTCGTGCCAGCAGGAACCGCGGGAAAATCAAAAAGCGTAGCGGACCTTTCTACGAAAGAGTGCATCATTCCCGTTGGTCCAGCGCCGTCCGAACGCGGGCCGTCGAAAGACGCGATCGATCGACCTTCCCATGAATATTCTAAAAGGTCCGCGAGACCAGCAATCTGGCACCGGTGACGCGTTCGACGATCGGGAGTTCGCGCTGAAAGCGATAAATATTTATAGCCGCGGGACGCGAGGCAGTTCCCCGTTTCTTGTCCCGTTAACATTTAAGGCTGTACAGGAGCCG